CCTTTTAGTATAGTGTAGATCTCGGTGGTCGCCGTATCATTAAAAAATTAGTGATTTTTTCTATTATTTTTCTTCTTATTAGATACTGTGATGAAGCCTTCATCATCTATATTAGGTGGAGTATTTTCTTTCTTATTCATATCAAACTTTTGTAAAGCAAAGGTTTGAGCTAAATCCTCTATTGTTAGCTTATCTCTTGGAGTTTTATTGAGCAAAAGTTGATTTTCTACCTCTTTTTGAATATAGAGAGATTTAAGCTTGTCATCAGTTTCATTATTCTTCTTGGTTATCTCTTCTATATGTATTATCATTGTATCAAGATTAGCTAGGTTTTTTGCATTCTCCTTGGAGTTTTCTTTCAAGTTTGAAACATGAATGTTTTCTTTTGGAAGTTCCTTTTATACTTCAGTTATTGTTGGTTCTTCCTGCAAAGGTAATATAGAGGTCTTTCATAGTGGGCTGCTTATTGGTTCCTCCTCTCTTGTTTTTCCAACTTCTCTAAATTTATGATAATGATTCTGAAGTCTAAATGATTCTTGGAGTTGTTCATATTTCCTCTTAATATAACCCTCTTGATCACAAAAGAAGCAAATTTTTGGAGCTGATTTCCATTCTGTAGTAACCTTATTGTCACCAACCTGGGTAAAGCATGAGATCTTACTTTCTAAGTTTGGGTCATCTGTGTTTTCAAAAATGACGATCTATTGGTCTGTTAAATAAGGAGTGCCTTCAATCAGAAGAGGTTTGATAGAGGAGATATCGCCTATGTCTTCAAAAGCCTCTTGGATAAGGTCAGAGATTTGGTTTTTGTCATCTAGTGGCACATTTCTAATTTTGACTGGTAAGAAGGATTTGTAAGCATCTGTTGGGATATAGCCATAGTAGGTTTTACCTAAAATTATTACCCTATTACTAGCATATTCTTTAAGAAGGCTTTGATTCTTTGATTCATGAAAATAATTTCTAAATGAGAGTGGGTGCCTTTTTTAAAATGTTGCTTAGCAGCAATGACTTTGTCTTTAACATTTTTGAAAAGTAAGAAC